GAGCAGACGGGACCTAACTTGGGCCCTGCGCTTGCAAAAAAAAATCAAACTGAAATAGCTCAACTCTGCGAAATCTACCAACCTTCCACCTGCTCTACGCTCTAAAACAGCCAACTTTTCGACCAGTCCAGGACTTGTGGAATCGAAGGATGAAGTGCAAACGGAGATCTCAAAGTTAGCGCAGATTGTATTGAATGTTGGTTGTGTGGACTTAGCTAGGACGAAATTGAACACTTTACAATATCCAGCAAACAGAATGCACGAACAGAGACTTCAACGTCGATGCCATCACGGCAGATGGAGCAACAACAGACTGCCTCCACCAAACTCCAAGCCTTGCAAATCCTTAAGCACAAAAGGCGATCTTCCACATCGAAATTCCTTTCACATCATGTACAACTTTTTTTGAAAAAAGGGAAAAAACAGTTTCTTCACATACATTCAACGTTCTCTGCAGCTGGCAAGCTGTTCGCTGAAAAGACATCCAACAAGAATTTTGCTGGTAGCAGCAAAAGTTAAATTTCAAAGACTTGCGGCGAAGGCAGTCGGGCTTCCTGCTGATGGACCAAAAAGGTCAAAGTCCATTCTCAGGCACCGGTAAGTCAGCTGGCAAGCTCTCTCTGGGGAGGGTGTTGTCAGCTCCCACTCTGTGATAGCTACAGGCCTGGTTTCGAGACATCGGGTAGAATTCGGTACTTGGAGGGTCTGTCGATTCTGCGAGCTGGAGGCCGTAGGGTTCGCAATCTTAGGGGCTCTAAAGTGCTTGCAAACAGGGCGCGCGCTGCATCGGAAGCAGTTTTGAGGCGCGCGAGTCTGTTGGCGCGAAGGGGCTGCGGAGCTGTTTGGACGCGCGCTGTCGTGCTGTAGAGCAGCCTCGGATCCAAGCCGGGGATCGAGGCCGATCGCCACGCCACGGGTGGAATGAGCACCGCTACGAGTCAAAAAAGCACCTTTGACCGATGGCGGGCTAGATTCCACCAGTGGCGATCTGCAGAGCCGGGAAGCTTGCCGGGGATCGAGGCTTGCCGGAGATGCAAGCTGCTCGGAAGCTCGTTCGGTAAGCTGCTTGGAGGGTCAGCTGGTAAGCTGCTGGTCGGCAGCTCGAAAGTAGCTCGTCAGCTGCTGGTCAGTGGCTCGAAAGTAGCTCGTGAGCTGCTGGTATGCTGCTGGCAAGTAGCTCGTAAGCTGCTCGTCAGCTGCTGGCAGGTACGCGCCCCCTAAAGCACTTCTAAATGCCGTTTTGCAAACACACTTTAGAGCCCTACGATCGCTCGAGCTGCGGGCCGTAGGCCCGAGAATCGACAGTGCTCGAAAGTACCGAATTCTGACCCATGTCTCGAACTTAGGCCTGTAGCTCACACAGAGTGGAGCGCTGCAACACCCTCCCAGAGAGAGCAACACGGCTCTGGGCGCGTCTCTGCGTATCGCGACTCGTCGTCTCCACTACGTCCCCGCCGCAGTCGTCGCCACTCCGCCCCCCGCCCGCCACGTCGTGGTCGCAGTCGTGTCGTCGCCGCACCGTCGTGTCGCCGCAGTCGTTGTCGCCGGCCCTTCGTTGCACCGCTAGCGCGGCTGCCCACCGGCCCGCTCGCCCGCTGTCGTCGGGGCTCTCGCCGCTGCGTCGCCGTGTCATCGCCGCGTCGTCGTCCCGGCTGCGTCCGCGTCCGCCAGTCG